CCCCAAATCCTCCAGCGCAACACCAATATAAGATATCCAATGGTTGAATCTAAGAGAATTGATGCAATTTTATCAAAATGTCAGGACTGAGCAGGACAAATCTGAGATGGCAAAAACTTGATAAGACTTTCTTCTTTTTGAAATGAACAGCAAAAGATACCTGCTGTAAGAAAGCTGCCTTCGTCCTAAACGAAACTTCAAGAAATTCAGCCTCTTTTTTAAGTCTTCGTATCCGTTCAAGGTCAGAACAGGCAGCTTTCAAGTGCTCCTTCTGTGAACTAGTGCTTGACATATGCAGCTCCTGAAGCAATACCTCTAGCCTTACCAAAGCCTCTTCGACACTCTCCAGTGCCTAAAATGAAATGCCAAAAACTGTATCTTCAGATCCATAATTTAATCCTTAAGACAGAGGAAAGAGGCACCTTACAATGTGCCATTGGAATCAAGGTGAAGCACTTTTATAAGTCAGATTTTATGCCAGAAATAGGAATTGATACAAAAATATAAATAATGAAAGAAGCTGATTGCCTTTTACACTTTGTTTAAAAAATAAAAAGAAAAAGGAAATGAAATGAGCTGCACGATTACTTTGGTTTGGTTGCAAGATAACACAGGGAGAACGAACCAACTAAAGAAAGTTAGAGCCAAAAAAACTTCATTTGAATAATAAAGCCTGGGGAAACCAATTGAAGAGCAAGGTCTCGCTCCCTTCCTTCTCTTTCACATATAAAGGTATGTGTCTTCTATCCAAAGAAAATTATCCAAACCCAACAAGTAAAAGGTACCAATGAAATCCTCAACTACTTTATCCTCCTAATCAAGAGTAATACTAATTTTGAATAATCAGAGGTTGCACATTCCTTTTGTGTTCTATTAAGTTTCTTTTTTCTTTCAGTTTGCTTTTTGGGAAAATGTTGTGGACATATGTAAATAAATAATAATGCTCCCTTTTTTAAGGCTTGAACTTTTTCGATTGAGAGGGAGCACATTAAAAGTATCAAAGAAGACAGAGATCCTAAATTCGAGTCACTGCCATTTGACATCAAATAGTTCCACATGTTGGTCTATGGAAAAAAATGATATTTAGCTAACAAATGTTACCTAGGCTTGTAGAAGGTCTAGAAATGAAAGTTAAAGGGGTGTGTTGAGAGCATGTTAAGGATTGCTTTCCCCAATATATTTCTAAAACAGAAAGAGATGATGGCGCAACAAATCCAGAGGGACGCAAGAACATGGAGATCCCTGGGACCTGAGGTATACTCTACAAACTAAATGTCACCCCCATCCCCCATGGGTGAGGAGTGGAGTGTTCTCAATAAACTCATAATACCACAAGCTTCTGGTGAGGGAGGAGTCGAGCTTCCTGTATATTTCAGTTTGGATTTCTAGGGCACCAAAAATGATATGCTTCTTCGCTTGGTTGGCAGCGAGGGGGGAAACTTAGAAAGCTGAGAGTTTAATAAAGAGTAGGATTACATTGCTGGTGCTTTAGGTGCAAACATTCAGGCAGAGACTTTGATCACCTCTTATTGCGTTGTCAGATGGCTACACGATTGTTATGGGAAGTCTTCAACTGGTTCGGTGTGCAACAGACAATGTCATGTCCAATGAAGGATACGCTACATAGCTGGGCCTTCAGACGAAGGAAGAGAATATGCAGGTTATGGGATGTTGCCCTTTAGCCATCATGTTGATTCTGCGGAGGAGAGAAATAAAAGAGCTTTTGAAGGAATAGACTTGAAGACTCTTTATCCACCTCCACGTCCAAGGAATTAGAGAGGCACTCTTAAATATTATCACATCGCATGAGGATAAATGCAACAGAAAATGCTTCATTTATAAGAGGTAATACCTTATCAAAGGAATCTGTTTCTTTCTTGATCTGTGAATAAGCTCCAGTGCGAGTCCTGTCCATGTTTTTTAGCATTGTTATCAACATGATTTCCATATCACATGTGACTGAGTTTGTATTGCCATAGCATTTGACCAAAATGCCATTAATTATCAGAATGAAATGACTATCACAACAAGAAAATAAACAATAACTATGAACAAAAAAAAACTATGGACGTTAAATAAGCCAGGCTTACTCCGGACATTTTGAAATTTACTAGGATAAAACATAGATTCAAATAAATAAAATAATATAATTCACTCATATGGTACCCAACAGTGTGGCTTAGTGGTCAATGAATTGGGTACTAACCTAAGAGACTGGGTTCAAATCCTAGAATGCTCTGATACCAAGTTAAAAGGTGTATACCGATTCATCTAAAAGATTAAGGGGTCGTTTGGTATGATGGTAAGTAAAAATAATTCTGGGATAAAAATTTAGTACCGTCTTGATAAATGGACCTTGGGCCTAACTCAACCCCAAAAGCTAGCTTATGAGGTGAGGATTTCCCAACACCATATAAGGAGACCAAGGACCTTAAATCCCGGATAACTCAACACCCCCCACCCTCACGCCCAAGCATGCAAACTGGAGCGTGGACAATATAAATGGGGGCCCAACATCGATAACAATAATTGGGATGGGCCTGGCTTTGATACCATGATAAATGGACCTTGGGCCTAACTCAACCCCAAAAGCTAGCTTATGAGGTGAGAATTGCCCAAAACCATATAAGGAAACCAAGGACCTCATATCCCTCCAATGTGGGATAACTCAACACGTCTTATCCCTTGTTTGGTTACTAATTCTAGGATAAGTTATCCCAGGATAAAAAATAGTACCGGGATAACTTATACCTGCCAGAGGGCGGAATAGTAATCCCAGAATAAGTTATCCCGGATAAAGCAGTAAAACTGACAATCCCAGGATTAATACAACATACCAAATAGTCAATAAGAAATAATACCAGGATAACTAATCTCAGCATAACTAATCCCAG